ACTGCGCTCATGATCATTCCACTTGGCGAAGCCTCATCCATACTGGACCTACCGTCTATGAGCAGAGGAGAAGTGCTGAGGCAGAGCAGAGCGCAGACAGCATAAATCTCGCAACAGCAGCATGTCTGCTGTTGATCAAGCAACCCGAAGCGGCATCTCTTGCTCAGTGCACCACAGACTGTTCAAAGCACAAACTGGCCTGATCAGCCACTCACATGCTCACAGAAACCAAACCAGCCAGTGATGTCATGGTCAACTTCAAATTGGAAGGATGAACAGCGTCATAAGATACAGCTCAGGAGCTTGTGTGGATTTAGTTAGGATCTCCAAATCTGGTTTCATTGTATGATAGATATGCACAATGTGGACATCAGGCAAGACATTCGGCACAGCATGCTTGCTCTCAAAGCCTTCTAGGTGGCTGTGCAACAACAGGACCCATGAGGAGCTGTTCTAGTAAACTCAGTGCACCCAACCCTTAGCGTGCCCCAGCTTCCTAATTAGTTGAAGTAGACTGGAGCTGAAGCAGGCTGTCGTAATAGTAGATGCCAGCTGCTTTTGGGCTGACTTGGCATTGATCATCACAGAGCAGTCAGGGAAGCATAACACTCTTACTATAGTACCGAGCAGCTCAGGAAGTGATCTCAGAGATCCCATTGCTAACTGAGCACAGAAGGCTGCCCCTCTCTGAGGGACATATTTTGATCAACTCACACTACGAACAGAGGACAAGCTGCTTCTCAGACAGGCCTCAAAAAAGCAGCTGAAGAATCTCCTATGAGGCAAGCTTAGCCCAAACTGCCTCATTCCACACAAAGCCGATTAGAAACTGAAAGAGGGATGGCTACAAATCTGGAGGGGATACCTCTGGAAAGTGGCTGGAAGAGGTCCGGGAGGAATTTGAAAAGCCAAAGGATCTCAAGAGGGTTCAGCAGCTCTAAACGTACGTAGAAACCATTGGTAAGGCAATGCAGAGATGGTTCTGAAGGTAGGAGAGTTCCTGACACAATGAGGTTGCAGGCCCTAAGAGGGATGGATATCTGTACCTGCTTTTATTTAACCCACAGTAGGGGTTGGCATTTGTTTACAAAAGCGAGACTAATCTGATTAAACTAATCTGCTCCCCACACCCTGAAGGAGTTATAATCATAGGAGACAAGTGAGAGATTAGGAGGAAAAAGTATTATCCCCCATTCTAGAGATGGGGAAACTGAGGCACAGAGCAAGGATGTGCCCAAAGTCACCAGCAAGTCTGTGCTAGAGCCCAGAACGGAGCCCAGATTCCCCAAGCGCCCAGGCCTATCAACCCTCCCCTGAAGATTACTGGTAATCACTGCTATGAGAAGACCCTCCAGCAGTTAACATATTGCATCCTAGCTGGGGCTGGTCTGAAAATGCTGTGTAGTCCCTTACTGTGCTTCTGTTTTCTTACCTGCTCCTATATCTGGGGAAAGCTCTCTCAGGGAAGTCTTGCTGCACTATATTGCTCTCATGGATAAGTGGCAAAGAACTGCAACATCTAAAAGTTTAATAAAAACAAACAGTGACTGGTCCTGCACTCATGGATGGATAATCCTGGTGTGTACACAGCCACAGGACTAACTTTAATTCTCTTATTAGCAGAGCAACACAGCAGTTAACAGTTATGCAAAGGCCTCTTGCACACAATTGGCTACCAGCATAGCTGGAGTCCTCAAATTATAACACCAATGCCCTGCCATTGCACTTTTCATTACAAACACCATAAATGACCCATTTAAGAGCTTTGGTGATCTAAAATGTTGGCAAAACTGTGCTACCATAGATGGGCAATGTAGTTTATGTTTTATTTCATAAAGCAACATCCCATACTTCTAAGGGATTATTCAATCTAAAGTTTAAATACCAAAATGTACTTTTTTCACTATTTGTATTGTTTGGGGTGTTTTTGCAGGTTTTCACTTTTGGCAATAAAATACTGGTAGGCTGGCTAATTTCAATGTCAATTCCCTCCCAAGACAACACAGCTGTTCTGCAAATGCCTAGGCTAACAACATAGCAGGGAACTATTTCTTCCTTAGAACCAGCTTTCCCATTGCCTCACTTTTAAAACCACATGAATTCTTAGAAGTATCATGGAAAGATTGCTGCCTGTCTTAGATTTTACCAGTGCTTAGTTTTCATCAAACTTGTATGTTGGATAAAACTTGACCTGGTGGTGTCCTATTAAATTTCAAGCAATAGTTCACTCCCATTACCCCTGAATGCACTCATCATTTGTACAAGGGACAAACACTGACACAAACCCCACAGTTTCCCAGTATCCGCTGAACGCCTGTGTTTACAAATCAGCCATCAGAACTGTGTTAAAGGCAAAGGCACAAGATGATCTCTGAATGGAGAAAGACAGCCCTGGAAAAAAAATCATAGGTCACAAGTATTATCAGGTAAAACAACCAACCACAAATCAACCCCACACCATTACCAAATAAAAGAGTTCCCAAAAAGCAAAACAAACATCAAGGGTATGTGATGTAAAGTGATGTAAAAAAAAAAAAAAAAAAAAAAATCACTTTTCAATGCAAAAAGCCAAATCTTCAGCTGACAAACAGCCAGAGCTCTGCAGACTCAAGTGGACGAACTACAACAATTTATGCCATATGGGGATCTGATCCAAAGCTGGAGTCTTGAAACAGATTTACAAATCACAGCCGCACCTTGGGCTGTCCCAAGTGCAAAAGGCCACATAACCTGTCGTATTTCATATTTAAAGTAAATGCCTTTGCTGTCATCAGTCAGGTACAAGCTGTTGGGCTGTCTTAAATCTCCCATTACAGTGCCCTCTGCCATACTGCACACATGGATTAATAGTAGCTTTATATTTTTTAGGTTACAGCTGATCCAAGATTCCCGAAAAAGAAAGAGAGCGTTTCCTAAATAGAATGACTGACACGATTGTGAAGAGAGACTTTATTCAGAACATTATCTAATTCATTCTACAGGCAAGGAAACTCATCTACTTGGAGACTTAAACTTCTAAAGAAAACTGCTATGATCTAAAGAGATTGGCCATAAAACTATTTGTATTGAAAACTTAGCCTGCATGCCTTTAGTGAACTTCATTCATTAACATTCTTTCTGGCAAGGTTTCCATATCTCAGTGTTCATTTTATACTTTAATTTGGTTAGTAGGTCTTTGTTTAATCGTCCTATTGAAAGGAGAACAAAGAAGGTTTAGGTGATACAGTGAAGTAATGCACTACATTTTATCTCTGGAAAGCCCAGACAAAGTCAGAAGACTCTGATACCCTCCGGTTTTTTTTTTCTTCCAGGACATTTGGAATCACAAATCAGTTGAGGAGCATAAAGATCCTCACTGTACTTAACTGCAGACATCTTCAGAAGAGAAACACCTTGTCAACCATAGAAATTATGCTCTGAGTGCTACATACAGTTCTGAAGGCAGATTATCTAAGGAAAAGAGCATTTTCCATTACACCTGGGAGCAAGCCATTGCTCATCTCCATAAATCCACTCCATTAAGAATTGCTAGTTAAGGCATTTTCTTCACAGGGGCTTCTCTTTAGGATCTTGCTTTTAAGGCCAGGGAGTTTTCTGGGTGCACAGCATGTTATAACCGTTCATGATTTTGGTTAATTACTACCCCAGATTGCAACTGGGAAGCCAATTGTCTTGGATTCTCCACTAGTTTTTCAGATATAGCCTACTTTTCTAAGGAATACACTATGCACATGAAATATGTCTGAGTGATCTCATTAAGCTAAGTATCCAAGAGCTGGCTTTTAAAGAACAAAGGGGCAGACCCTCACCTTATGTAAGCTGACCTGACTCGAACTGCTGTCAGGGGACCTATGTCAATTCATGCCAGATACGAATCAGGCCCGCGATTGCGAGTGAGATTCAATGGGCTTTTCCCATTGCCTCACTTTTAAAAGGTTTTCCTCAATGTTTTCTCTTAATACTCCCTGTGGTGGCTTAAACCCATTACTTGCTCTGTCTCGCTGATTAACAAAACAACAGGTTTCCCTGTCTTGGTTTTTCACTTCCATGTAGACAGTAGTCTTCCTCCCAGTCATTAAAAGCGATCTCTCTTTCCTTGCAGGTCTTTGCTTCCCAAAAACCTCTAGCTAGGATTGTTGCTGTGCTCTGACCTAATGAGACAAGATGTAGCTTGTCCTCTGGAGGTCAGGAACACAAAAATCATCCTCTCTGACAAACCTTTCCCCCAGAACAGGGCTGGCATTCATATCACTCCCACAGCTCCACCAAAATACCCCCTAATAATTCCCTCTCTTCACATATGACGAACAAAAAAAAAAAAATAAAAATCAAGCAACAATTTGCAGCCAAAAAATCCCCCAAAACATATAAATAATTAAACATATAAATAAAAACAAACCTATAACCCTACCCAAGCAAAGTCCACAACCCGGAAAGGAACAAGAGCTATATATGCTATAGAGTTCATCTGGGACCTTGCTATTGCCAATGCCATACACACTGAAGGAACATGGAAATGCCACGATGGGTGGTATTGCAAACCCCACCACAGGCAATTTCATAATGGTCACTCAGTAGTAGTCAGATGTTAAGTATTTTTTGGACCTCAGTTCTTCTCAGTTTTAACACCATTGATGTCTGATATATCCAGTGCAAGTGAAAGGAGAATCAGACTCTTCATGTCTACTGACCAAGGCTCGATTCAAATGCATGACCTCAAGGTGAAAGGCTCCATCTCCCATTACTAATCCCATGAGCCACACAAGCCTCCTGAAAATGATTCTTTGGTTTTATTACCACATAGATCATTTCTAAAATCATAAACTGGGTTTAGGAAAGCAATCCTGACATAACAATGGACAAATGCATACTAACGTTTCTGAAATGCAGCCGAAATGGGAACTTAGGTACCTCCACTGGTACCTCGAATAATTTAATTGCTTAATCATGGGAAATTCTAATTTACTGAACATTGAGGGAAACTGATAAACAACTTACCAAAAGCCAGTTCTTTATTTTGCAACCAAATCAAAAAGGATCAAAGATGATATTCTGTGTGGGTCTATTACATAGGCAAAACCAGAAAGGATTTAAAAACATCCAGAAATCCAAAATTCAAAATTAAAACCAAGAACTTTCTTGACTGATGTGCTGACTGGTAATTAGTAAGGATAGAATATGAATGAGGTGGCAGTGAACAAAGAAGGTAACAGTGTACTTTTAATAACCCAATTTCATCTGTATCTCCACTGCTTTGCAATTTAACAGTCATATCAGCAAAACCTCATTTCCCTAACTAGACATGATGTTTTTAAAACATGACTAACTCATTCTCATTAATATCAATTTAGATGGCATTTAAAAAAATAATTCTTAATATTTGTGCAACAAGTTAAAGGTTTGTAGTCTAAAACGCCAGATGCTTATCAATGTACAATCCAAAAGAGAAGCATCCTAAAATTAGATGAGGTTGAAATTCATCCTGTAATTCCTGAAACATAAGGCATAACACTTCAAAATTATTTGTACATTATATTTGATTCACCTCTTAGACACATTGCACTAAAATATCTAATACTGTCACCATTCTGTCATATTTGGGGAGTTTTCCTTCTTTGTTTAAAACTGGGGGTACAACATACATTTCATAGCATACTTTATTTGTCATTACAAGGTAATACTCAAAATGGTATTATATGCTCTAAAGCCTTTACGGAGTGCTACGTGCCCATTCTTGAAACACACAACTGCTTCAAAATAAAATTAGCAGCATCTCCGGCTACAAATTAAAACTTGATTGCTACCATTAAAACTAATGTTAGAGCCCATAGCCTTCAGCCCCAATTCGGAAAGGTACTTAAGCAAGTGTGTAACTGAGCAAAAGAACAGTCCCACAGAAGGCAACAGGATTAGTCACTTCTTAAAAATTACACGTATGCTTAAAAACCTCCTGAATTAAGGCCTTAAGTATGATCTCAGCTGATTTCAATGCGTGTACCACTGGGGAAGCTCCTCCTGGGATGACTATCATAGTCCATTGCAGCTACAGGAGTAAACATAAAACGTAAGGGATTTTATTAACTGCCAGGATTACACACCTGCAAATTAAAAAAAGGAAAAGAAAAGGCACCAAACTCGGAACCCTACAAAATAATAATAATAATCATAAAAAGTACTTTATAAATATCAGGTATTTACATGACTGAAAATCTTTTAATGTGAGGTGTTTTTCCGCCTTGATGAAATGTACAAGCAATGTAAAGGTACATGGACAAAGACTAAAAAAAACAAAAACAAAGTATAAAATATATTACAGGTCCACCAAAAACAATTCACACGGAAGAAAAAAACTGACACAATAGAAACTTTCTTTTAAAAAATAGAAGATATTTCACAAAAGCTCGAACATGTTTATTTTATGTTAGTACTAAAAATCAAGGAAAAAAGCTTCATATATTCTTATCACAAAAATATTTACCAGCCACTTTTTTTTTTCCCCATGTTATGATTATCTGGTTATGCAGGAAGAGAGTTGAAAACTGTTTTCAGACTACAGAAATCATTCCAGAAGGTCTCTTTAGTTTACAGTTTGCTGCCATTTACACGGTGATCTCTCCCAACACCCCACTCAGGCTCAGGAGAGAATAAAAACAAATCAAAAAGGAGAGAGCAGATATCTGTATATACAACATGGATCGCTGCTGCTTCCAATCCTCAAGAGCTGTGTGGGTAACTATTTACCCTTTGTCTCACTCTGTGCAAGTTCCCTTCGGCAGGTGAAAGTCAGCGTCAGAACGGACTAAGATCTAACCCATGGGGGCCCACACGGTTTCAAAAAAAACCTCAACAGTCCTGAATGGACAGTGTATTTTTGTTCCTGATTCACTTGAGAGTCATAATCCATAAAACCTGATGACAGATGATGAGACAGAAGCACACTGAATCCCTCTACAAAGGAGTCAGGGTAGAAGTGCTGAAGTGACCGTATGACTTAAATCCACTGCAACGTCTTCAATGTGCTCTGTGCTTCCGCTTCTTGTGTTTTTTATCTTTCTTTTTGTTGGCACATTTAGAACAGAACCACTGCGTTTCTTCTGGGGGTTCAGTCGTAATTCCAACACAAGGCCTGTGAGTTTGACAAAAAAGCACAAGGTTTCAGTGAGCCAAGGCTACTTTTATTTCAAATCCCTATAAGGCACGTTTCTTTAGTTGGGAGACAGAATCTGACTAATATTTTCAGTCCAAAATCCATTACTGTAACAACAGCTAGACATTCAAAGTCTCTTGTTTTGAAACAGAAAATATATTAGAAGGCTACTTAGATAACAATGGTATGTCAATAAAATGAGATGTCTCCACTTTGGGGTGTAATAGGCCAGATAAAAGATAACATGTTTGTGGTAGGTAAAGCTTATTGTTTTTGCAGGCATTTTACCAGACAGCTATATGAAATGATTCGCTTCTTTATAAGAGCCCAGCCTTCCAAAAGTAGTAATGCTCCCATAACGTGACACATTCTAGCTGCATTCCTCGTGCTCATAATCATATGGTTCTTTCAATATCGCCAGACATGCACAGATTCCCTAACAATCTCAAAGCAACGCACTGGTTTTCTCGCACATTTCCCAGTATATTTCCACTAACAAAAAATCCCCAAGCAGGTGTTAACTTAAAATTTACTTTTGCAAACTTCCAAAGCAACAGAGGTAGAAGTGAAATTGTCCAAATGACCAGTGGGAACAAAGGGGAGCTGTTCAAACACACTGCTTTTTTGTAACTAATACGGGTTTTTTTAGGACAGCAGCAATCTTGGAAAGAATGATACAAAAGGAGAGGTGAGCAACTTACCAGTGATACCAATCATCACAATCATCACAGCCTATCATTGGACTGCCATCATCTGGTTTGTTACAGCCAGGACAGATCCAGATCTGGTTACCCCATTCATCTCGGATCTGGTGTAAAGAGGAACGAAAATGTTGATTGCTTTTAGCAACCACTGGGTAGCAAAGCTGATTTCTCCTTAAAGTTAGGTTTCCCGTTTACCTGCCAGAGCTATTCACTGCACACACTATTCCTGGATAGGGGCATATAAGAATACCCTAATTGCAAGTGCTTACCATTACCATTCAAATTGATTTGCTGTGCTGGACTTCAAACATTTTTATGCACTGGTCTATAAACAAGTAAAGCCAGTTAAACCACTTGATCCACGAGAATCCCCGACAATGCGAGGTCATGGTTGGCAGGGCTAACCGGACCTTGTCGTGCATCCACAGGTGCATCTCGAGTAGAGCCAGGGAGGTGATCCTCCCCCTCTATGCGACGCTGGTCAGGCCGCAGCTGGAGTATTGTGTCCAGTTCTGTGCGCCCCATTTCAGGAGGGATGTGGACAACATGGAGAGGGTCCAGAGGAGGGCCACCCGCATGATCCGGGGACAACAGGGCAGACCCTACAGTGAGAGACTGCGGGACTTGAACCTATTCAGCCTCCACAAGAGAAGGCTGAGGGGGGACCTGGTGACCGTCTATAAACTCACTAGGGGGAACCAGAAGGGTTTGGGGGAGACGCTGTTTCCCCTAGCCCCTGCTGGCATAACAAGGAATAATGGGCACAAGTTGATGGAGAGGAGGTACAGATTGGACATCCGAAAAAACTACTTCACAGTCAGGGCGGCTAGGAGCTGGAACCAACTTCCAAGGGAGGTGGTGCTGGCCCCTACCCTGGGGATCTTTAAGAAGAGGCTGGATACTTACCTGGCTGGACTCATTTGAGTCCCGTTTTTGTTTTTAGGGTGAGTGGTTTTGTTTGTGTTTTTGGGTTGTTCTCCCGCCCTGGCGGGGGGTCGGGCTAGAAGATCTATTAGGTCCCTTCCGACCCTGAAACTATGAAACTATGAAACTATGAATATTCATTCCCATATAACAATCACCATGATTTAACAACACAGGCCACTAGCTCTGGTATCGTCCCCATCAGAAGGACATTTTTATTCTTTAAATTCTATACTGGTTGGTGACAGAACAAGCAATGGCAGCCTCCTACATAAGATAGCAGCCTCGTGTATGTAATACATACAGTGAAATGTGTATGCACTGCCTTATTACTTATTAGCCAAACCCTTCCATTCAAGTAGCTGATAAGATCAAGGATATAAAAAGTTGTTACTGAGTAACTTTCCATTCCCTTCATGACATTTATGTCACAGGACAATGTACTAAAAAGTGTAAATGAAATGAGAGAGGCAGATCATTTACAGTATTAAGCAAATGTTTACTAACTCATCATACTCGATGCCTTATGATGGCCTTCTGTTATTAATTCCAGCTCGAACCGTATTCAAATTTGTAAAATTTCAAGCCTCTCATCTAACAAGGCTTTTGTATATTTTGGTAAAATATAAAAATGCACAACATTCCATTCTGTGAAGTACAGTTTATATGGGCAAATACATATACAGCCGTCCAAAGATTTACACTGATTTTATCACTTATAAACAAGGATTGGCAGGATGACTAAGTCTTATTCTAAAGATTGCATGTGTTTGTTTTCAGCAGTTGCTGGAACACACTGTCACATCCCATGTAGGAGAATCACTTTTTCTTGTTATGCAGAAAGCTTATAAAAATTACATTTAGAGTGAAAAAAGACAATAAATACTATGGGGGGGGGGGGAACCTAACTACACACTGGACTATAAATCTCATACCATCTTCCAGGGAAATCAATAAAAATGCTCAAGGGCTGCACCCAATCTATCGTTCATGACTGACTCCTTTTAAAGTCTTGGGTTTTTTGTCATTCAAAACTAGATGACACAAGGCACAAGAAAATATGAAGCACTGGGCCTGCACTGACAGGGAAATGCACTGGCCAGTGTAACACAATTTGGTTTTAATAATCATTTTTATCAACACATCTAATCTTACTTTTGCAAAGTCATTTCCTGTTGGTGCAAAAAAACCATTTGGTCCCGACATAAAGTGGCTACCTGGACTTCAGGATGCTAGGCTCACACAAAGGCATCTCTCTGAAGTAATCAACGTAGAAAAAAACAACACGCCGTACCACTCTGCTGCAAACAAACAGCAGTACAGCTGTAGGAGTGCCAATTACAGCCAATTATAACCTGCTCGAGCAGCCTGGCTGTTAAAATGCCAAGCAAAACCTGCAGAATGCTTCCAAGATGGGCACTGTTTCTTTGCAGGTGTTCAACTTGGGACATTTCCTGTTTTCATCTGAGGGGCTGGTAGTGCCACCTACAGTTAAGGCAGCCCGACACTTTCTCTTTACAAGTCCCTGGTTTTAGATGATAAGAACTCTTCCAAACTTTAACTGTTCAGGGCAAAATGTTCCATTCTGCTTCAGCTAGATTTTTATTTATTTATTCATTTCGTGTAGAAGTTTTAAGGTAACAACAATTGGCGCTTTTTGGGAGACGGCTGACTGAGAGGTGCAGACAGGGTGAGGGCAAAGGTCTTGGCTCTGGACTCCCACTGAAGAGGCTAAATCGAAATATTCAGGAACTACCTATTTACCGAATGAGGCAAAATTCCTGTAGGAAAAAATTGTAAGACCACTGTAAATTAAAGACTGTACACTAATCCTGGCATTTCCTACCTCAACAGCACTTGGCTTTGCAAGCTTACAGTTCGTTATTTTAATTTGTTGCATATAAATCTTTTAGGCACAATAATGAGAGCAAAGTTACTAACCTCCCATCTTATGATATCGTTACAGAATATCCTTCCTTAGCTGGAGGAAAAAAAAGATGCTTTTGTGGTTAAGACACTGGGTTAGGGTTAATGGTGGATGGACTCTTGTCCTGGCACAAACTTCCTGTGTGATTTTGGGTGGGTCATGTCATTGCTTTGTGCCCCAATTACCCAGTTATGCAAAAGTAGTGATATGATAACGTTTTCATTTTTCCTTCCCTCGTTTTGTCTTGGCCATTTAGATGATAAATTATTTGTCCCTTGCTATGTGTATGGTCAGGGCTTATACAACGAAGCCTTGACCTCAGTTGGGGTCTCTGGCTAATTTGAAATAAGAAAAAATGGATCGGCTATTAGCAGTGGCCTCCACTCCCCCGATAAGGTAGCAAGACTTTGCATAAAGAAATACTGAGCTTAGAACACAAGTTTTCCCCTCTGTAATTAAACTAATGCTATCTGAAAATTGTTTGCTTTTAATGCTTATTGCGAAAATGAGATGTAGTACCATCCCTCTGCAAGCAGTTCTCTCCTACAGTAAATTTCCTGGGGCACTGCTGTAATACAAGTAAAGTGATGATATATTTATTTTTGTGATAAAAATGGCAATATCATGGTTAGTATCTTCAACCCAAAAAGCTTTACTAAAACTGGTATGCAAATTGAACATGGGGATCCCTTCACCCAGCACTGTAATCAACTCCGGAGTGAAATGTAGCAGCTGGTTTAATAGGGCCTGGGAACATGATACAACAGTTTAAGGCAGGCAGTGAAGAATACAGTTTCCATTAGAAACCACATGGTAAATTTACAGGAGGCATCATTATAAAACAACAGCATTAACTGCAACATTTGGTCGATTTCTCATTTTAAGTGTAGGAAATACTATAATAAAAGCAAGCACCAGGATACTATAAATGGTGAAATGCTTAAAGTGGCACCCATGAAAGATACAGGTGCAAGACACAATTATTCATGTTGGAATATAGCCAAACGAGGGTAACGATTCTACTGGTTTCTGCATAGAGCTGCATCGTGTTCTTTAAATAGGGTCACCATATGTCCCAGTTTTGCCAGGACAGTCCTGGGTTTCATAGGCCATCCCGGCATCCTGGCCAGTTAGCTAAAATTGAAGCAAAAGTCCCGGATTGGTGCCACCCCACCCACTCCAGCTTCTCCTGAGCAGTGGCTGGAGGCTGGGGGGCAAGCTGGGCTAAGCAGTGCTCCTCCTGCCTGGGGCAGAGATCAGCCAGGCAGGGTGGGCCAGAGAAAGGGTCCAGAGACCAGGTACCTGTGTGGGGCAGGCCAGGATGGCTGCCCACTGCCAGAGGCATTGTGCCCTTCTGCTGTGGCTGCTGCTAAGCCCCCTGCTGCTCACAGCAGCTCCAGGTGGCTGCCGGTGACAGGGGAGGCATCATGTGGCCACACATCCTGGGTTGGTGGAGCTTAGGGGTGCTGCACAACGACCACTCCCAGCTGGGTCCAGCTTCTGTGCATGGAGGATGGAGCCTGGCTGCAGGTCTCCATGCTATCCTGCCCCACCCCACCCCACCATCAGGGTTACTGGGAGCTGTGGGGTTAGAGTGGCAGGGTGTGGTAACCTTCATCCTGGATCCCCTTACCCCATCCTGGATTTCCTTCAAAATAATATGGTCACCCTACCTTTAAAGATCAGACATGCTAACATCTTTAGCTTTTACATCTTTTCTAGAGGAAAACAATTTCCAGCAACACAAGAATCTTAGCCCCAAGCTAAACAGTTGGTGCCATACTTCCTCAGAGGAAGGAGTGCACTGTTCCTGCATTATACAGAGTTCTGTATTGAACATCCAAGTATTAGCTCCACTTGAGTCAGGATGAGATCACAGAAAATGATGAAATGGCTAATTAACAACATGCAGCCAATGCAGTCAACATCTCACCGGCATTATGACATGCGCAGAGATTGGTGTTACACACTTACCACGTAAGTACTGACAGTCTCCGTTACCACGCTCCGAACTGGTGCTTTGGATCCTCCTGCAGCCGAGACAGCAGGAGAAGGGGGTGGTATCAGAGCCGGCTGGATAGCAGGTGGTGGCAGTGGAGGAGGAGCTGGAGCAGGAGGAGGGGTCACATGGACAGGAGCTGGTACCGGAGATGGTGCAGGTGGAGGTGTTTTAGGCCGATTCACGGGAGTAGAGGGTTTAGCCTCCGGAGCTGACACCACTTTGCTGATGACTCTGACAGTCAAAAAAAAATGAAAGAATTAATATACAACAGCTGTAAAAAGGCATTGACTAAATATGAGAAACAATCACGAGGCCAATTCATTTTGCCCTTCAAGATAGTTTTGTCGCAGCACTAGGACAGTTTTAAGATCCTGACTTGTGACCAAGTTGAAGTAAACCGCCAGTACAGTGTGAACTCCTCTGCATGTCTCAACTAGACTTGTTCTGTAGCCACGTTCTCCAAGGCTTCAATAAACCACATTCATTTTCCCAATTTTATCATGTTAATAGTCAAGTCTGTGGGAATTATTGCCAAGGAAAGTTTACCAGTTAGGAACAGCAATTTCCATGTTCAAAGTGAGAGGTGCCCCAATCCTCCTAAGAATCTCCATTAGTGGTTCTACATGTTTGCTAGTTCGGTACTTCTTTTCTAGGATGCTTGTGGAATTAGTGGTGAATTCTATCATGAAAAACAAGTGACATATGCTACATATTCAGCCACTGAAATACTACTTTAGTACCTGAAGTAGACAGCATATAGCTCTAACAAATACACACTGAAGAACAGTTTTGCACAGGCTGAAGAAAACAGTAGATGACCTGATATTTAAGCTATGTACAGGCATTCAGTTTGTCCTGGAAAAGTCTGTTCTCCCTGTAGAAACCATGAGCATACAGATGTTTAGGATTTTTCTCCCTTTTGGCAAAAATGGCTGCTCTAGCAGAAAAATAACCTGAAACAACCAGGGCTAAATCACTCTCAGGAGAGTGACTTCTGGGAGAATGAATGTCTATACATGTTCCCTATGACAGAACCCACAGCACAGTCCTCCACTCTCTCAGGGTGCTTTGCTTCTGCCACCCTCTGCCTCCCCCAGGGAGACAGCATGCTGCTCACTGGACGCTACTGCTCCAGCCAAGCAGGGAGCATAATATGTTCCCTTCACAATCTACAAATTGAGCTACAGGGAGACAGACTGACCCTGATCAGTCTGGTCAGCTAATCAGGGCTGCCCTGTGCATTGTTACCACTTGTCTCCAGGTAGACTGAGGAAGCCTGCAGAGCAGGTTAAGATGTTTGCCCAAAGGCTCCCTGACTATGCAGCACCAGCACTACCAGCTCTCTGCTCTTCAGGGTCTCAGTATTCAAATATCTGTTCAGGCATCTCTGGGTAAGTTTTTCTACCAGAAGAACAAATCTGGGAGAATTCTCTCAGATCACCTACATGTGTGTATGCAGCCTTATTAGGTAATACTTTATACATATAATGCTATAAGCAAGGCAGTGAATTTAACAGAAAGAGGAGGAATAAGGTCCCTGCTATAAAAATCTTACAATCTAGTTCAGAAGCAGAGGGTTGAGATAATGAAAAGATACTAGTGTACCTAAAATAAGAACAGAAGGATGCTTGTTTTCAGATAGATGCGTCTTCTTATATAGTTCCTTTAGCTAAAATGATTTTGCAAGGCTAAGGTGGGAGTGTGGATCAATGGTTGACATGCTGGAAAGGTGTGGGTTCTGAGGACAGATTTAAATAGAAGTGAATACTCCAGATAGTGCAGCAGGATGGGAAGAAAGGTGAAGGAAGCGGAATTGGATAAAGTCAAAGGAAAAGGGATGAAAACTTGGCTCCACTGAAGTTAAGGGGAATTATGCTTCTAACTGCAGGTAAAGCTGTTGTGGGTTACTTTCCACCTGCCACTGTTCAAGAGCATGTCCATGAGCAGCAACCTCGGAGCAGCTGACGCATGGCAGAGCCACGTTCCTCTGTACCTTAGATAGTGGCCTCAAGGTCAGACAGAGCTGAACAGAGTCTCCAGCTCAGCCAAGGGAGCTTTTCCCATGCTGATTTCCATATTAGTAAAAAGAAATTATGATAGACCACTACTATGCCTGATTATCAGCACAAACAGAGATAAAAGGGGAGATAATAAGAAAACCTTTTTCTAGGAAATAAGTTGTTAAAAGAATATTTACTATCATGCACTTAACCATTTTCATTAAAAGGGGATAAAGCATTCTTTAATGTCACAAATGATTCCTGTTGACAAGAATGCCCTAAGAGTACACTGCAGCTATTCTCTTGCGATAGTCAACATACAGTGTGGCCAGGCAAAATCTGCATCCAGCATGGAATCTAAACTGAATTGCAAGAAAGATTTGAAATTATAAAACATTTAATGCTAAGCTGATATATTAACCTTAAAAAAATCTAGAGAGCTTCTAGTTGTGAAAGCCTATTTGCACTACTAAACTACAATGCTAACAAACAAGTTACAGAAAAGAATCATAATAAAAAATATAGTTCTGGTAACCAAATCTGTTATGGTCTCCACCTGCTGTGGACTAAAGATGAGAGACAGAAAAAGAACAACCAAACTGGAGGAACACAAGAAAACTAGCAACAGAGAAAGCTTGAAATGATGTGGGATTGATTTCCAGAGTCAGTAACACTGTTTACAACTTCAACCTCATGACTCTGCACTTCTGCTATAAAAAACCTGACAATAATAAAAATGAGATGAGGGACAGAGGGCAAATCAACACAGAGGGCAAATTATTTGGCACAGAAAAAAATATTCTTTGGATAGTTCAAAGAACATCCTTGCTCCTTCCTTTCCCTCTTTTTGTTTATATCTTTTTATGATTAAACTACAAATCTTCAGGCCACAATCTTTTAAGCACAGCCTAAGAAAATGTGCTAGCCACCGTGATTTTAAACACAACCTTCTGTCTAGTGCAAGTGAAGTCTAATATCTGTTTAAACAAAGGTATTAGCTGGTTATGGTGAATGGTATCTAGAACTGTACTAGCTTTTAATGCCTTTTTCTAGCATAGATAAAGACAGGTCCTGTCCCTTAATGGGGTCTTAGAAGCCACTATAAGAAAACTGATGAAAATGCTTCAGCAACTCCAAATGCACGGGCAGGTCAAAACAAACTCTTACTCTGTTCACTAATTACTAGTAGCTGTAGTAGTAACAAGCAGCAGTCAATTTACTGCCACTCATAGAAGGGAACTTAAAGGTGTTAAATAATTTCCTACCTTCAGATATAATTGATTTGATAGCCATCATTCTTATACTGGACTGTGGGTGTGACTGGAACAAGCACCCAGTACAAGGTCGGTTTGTTTATCTTGGCTTTGACACAGTTATCATGTAGGAAAGATCTGCATTTGGAAACACCCTTGGACCTACCAATGTATAAAGCTAATGACATGCTGTGGCAGAAAAGAAAGGAATTGCTCATGCTTATATCACTTGAGAGATGATGGGGTAATTTCAGAGAGGATGGATCCCTTGGTCTCCTGTCTGAAGACGGGGGCTGTATACACGGTAATACGTAGGTGGGGAGAAACTACAGTAAAACAGCGACCCTGTGACTAATAATTAACGTTACTTCAGACTTGTATAGAACAATAACCACAAACGCTTTATAAATGAGAGCAACAATTTTACAGGTGATGAAATTGAATTGGAGAAGCCTAAGATCACGTTGTAAAACAGAGGCAGACACCAAAACCAAACCCTTGCCCTCATAACCAGTTCCTTGCTTAGATGCGCCATCACCCATGAGGCCACAGGAATTTAGAAGCAGGTAATAATTTACTTTAATATGTTTACTACCTATTTTCAAAACGTGCTAATGCGAGACACGGCATGGCACTTGCACAAAAGAGTCGGAGGCTAGATTAAATTACTCTTAGAGACAACCAGAGAAAACTCGAGATCAGGCAGCGAACGAAACGTGTTCAGAACCTTGAGATCAGAGTTACGTTTCTCCGTGGGCTGCTTGCCTACCAACATGTCATCACGATTATTTTCTATATTAAAAAGATAAAAATCAAATATTAACATTTTTATGAAAATGGCTGTTTCAGAATGAAGGGGTGTGAGAAAACCCTTGGACTAGATGTGGTAATGAGAGCCTCCATTCACCGTACAAAGTAAAAACTATAACCACTCCCTTCCCAAAGAAACTGGAATTATTGCATAGGCTTTGTAGTACAGCTGTTATTTTCCCCTCCAACTTTTAAGTATCCTTTGAACTTTTTTTTTTTTTTTTTTTTTTTTTACGGCAAGATGAAATACATCTCATACAAAATGTCTTAATGCATTTATAAAAAAATACATGCATTTATAACTAATATCCTAAAGTATGTAAAGATATAGTGGAATCCATTTATAAAGGAGGATTTGGTCAATTCCACTTTGATCATTACTTTGGACTGATCAATCCATTCAGACCCATGAAAAAGACCTCCCCAAACATGGGCACGGAAGAAAGTGTTATCTCGCAAGCACAGAGCAACCCATAATTTTTAGTACCAAGGCAGACATCCTTGCAAGCCAGGCAAAAATCCTGGGAAGGCAGGATTTTTAGTACCAGGACAGAACAGCCAAGTTATAATTGGCTCTAACTGGCCCAAACTGTGACCCAGTGCCTCTGGAGCAGAGGGAGACTCAAAGGTATTTCATTTATTTCCTACCTTTGGAAGTAACTGGTCTGATATCACCATGATTCTCACATTGCCTACTTAGTATAAGCAGAGGGAAAAGACAAGTGTGCCAAAAGCCTTCAGAAAAGTATGATCTGAATCACTAAGTTGAATGTTTATTACTAGAGGTGATGCCACAAAATAATTATACTGAGTTATCACAGGCTAGCCAGGAGTCAGTCTAATGAACCTCATTTTATTGAGGGTAAGGTTCCAAATGAATTCTTCCTCAAAAGCTGGCTAAATTTACTTCCCACTCTCATAAGTGCCTTAGGCATGTAGGAGCCCAGGGTGTTTTTAATTAGAGCGGGTCCGAAAGTGCCCGGAGTGCCTGGAGTGTCTCGTGTATCAGTGAATCCATGCTTCAAAATGACGGCAAGGATGCTTTATCTAAAGCTCAACGAATGAGCTTTAGTTAATGCCCCCCCTCCTTCTTAAGTACAGGGACACTGATAGCCGAGACGTGGAGGCTGGCTGGAGCGCGGTAACTACCACACTCCAGCAGACTCTA